CGCCAGCTTGGCGAAGAATGAGTAAAGTAAAAATTTATTTTCTCTTATTCATTTTATGGTAAATTGTAAAAAGCATATGTAGTAAACTTTTGTAAATGTATGTAAATACTTGCATGTTATGTAAAAGTAGAATTTAGTCTAGAAGCATAAAATTGTAGATGCTAAAAGTGAATGCTTAAAAGCAATGAAGTCAAAATTTAAGTATTAAACTGTAAAGTCATGCTTTAGAGCGAAAGCCTGCATGTTTAAAGATGAATGAGGGGGAAGCTAGAATGAATGTGTTTTGTAGGGTTCTCCACCTACATTTGAATTTTTAAGACTGTTAAAGTAGCTCATTGAGTTGTAGAATGTCGAGTAAGGTGGTGTCTATTTGGTGTTGTTGAATTCTAACAAATCATGGTGGTTAGGGGAAGTGTTGTAAGACTAAAACACGAATATTTCCCGTTTTGACACCACACACGGTGGAGAGCCAGGGTAAAGTTAAATTAATGCTTGAAAATTGAATGAATGTGAAGTAAGCAATAACTAAGAAAAACGAAACGTTAAAAACAAAAATTTATTGTGTCAAGAAAGTGTAATTATAATGTATGTAGAAAGATACTGATACTTATTCCTTCCAGATGCTGGAAGGAAAGACCAAGATTGATTGATGAAGTCCAGGAAAAGTTGCTGTAAGAAGAAAGCTTTGTAACGACTAACAGAATTTTAATTGTTACATAAGATTTTTTGTGTAAACGAGGCTTTCGCCAGTTAGTTCAGAATTAGATAAACTTACAACAGGTCGTTTGTAGGACCTGCTTCCAAGTTTTCCAAATTCTGGCAGCGGCAAATGTAGGGTTTATATTTATTTTAACTAACATTTATTTTAAGTTTAAACTATCTTTCCTGTCAAGCCTTACTTTCTCCTGGAACTGCCAATGCCAGAATATGTAAATTTGAGTAGAACGCGCAAGCATTCAAATTATCAGCGGAAGTAGTATGATTTAAATAGAAGGAAACGAGTTCGGTGAGAGAGTTCTTACTTCGCGAGCGCGGAGGTAGAAATCGAGAATTAAAGAACCCCGCGTTGCGGCCTATGTGCTTGGCGGGAAGTAGTTGCAATTGTTCCAGTGAGCTTCAAGTCTGCTGAATTAGCAGCCGTATTTGTAAAACGCGGTGAGTTAGTTATTTTAGAGAGCCTCGTAGTTAGAATCTTGTCTTTATTTTCTTTTCAGGTTTTTATTTTTATTTGACTGCCGAGTTGGCACAGTTTGTAAGCGTCAAGAGGACGCAATTGTAATTTAGTACGTTGAATAAAAAGGGACTTAAACCCTTTATAAGACTCTGTGGTTTATACAAGCTTTCACAGTCACCTCTTGGTTGCGTGCTAGTTAGAGGCGCGCAACATTATAAATCTTTGCACTTGTAATGTACAGTGCTTTCTAAAAATTCTTCCTACATTTATCATCACTATGGCTCTGTACTAACGCACGCATTTCAGTGAAATAAAATTTATGCTGCACATCAGATTCCAAAGTTTTAGCTGGCAAAAATGCATGCTAAGAGGACCATGTGCCCACAAGCCAATTCTTGATTCCAAGATAGCATTCATCACACCTTGCGTTTGGCGCTTTATAGTAATTATCTGTGGGTTTTGCGCCAATAACCTCGCTCTCACTCACTGACCCCAGATAGCATCGATTAAAAAAAAAGCACAATGCCAGGTACACAGAGTTAAATCTTGCGCTGATGCGTCGAAAGTTCAGCATCCCATATACAAACAAAACATACAAAAATATAAAAGTAAAAACATACAAAAAGATAAAAGTAAAAAGCACAATGCCAGGTACCCAGAGTTAAAATTTTGCGCTGATGCGTCAAAAGTTCAGCATCCCATATACAAACAAAACATACAAAAAGATAAAAGTAAAAACACACAAAAAGATAAAAGTAAAAACACACAAAAAGATAAAAGTAAAAAGCACAATGCCAGGTACCCAGAGATAAAATCTTGCGCTGATGCGACGAAAGTTCAGCATCCCATATACAAACAAAACATACAAAAAGATAAAAGTAAAAAGCACAATGCCAGGTACCCAGAGTTAAAATCTTGCGCTGATGCATCGAAAGTTCAGCATCCCATATACAACAAAACATACAAAAAAGTAAAAACACACAAAAAGATAAAAGTAAAAAGCACAATGCCAGGTACTTACAGTTAAAATCTTGCGCTGATGCGACGAAAGTTCAGCATCTCATATACCAACAAAATATACAAAAAGATAAAAGTAAAAAATATACAAAAGGATAAAAGTAAGAACCAGAAAATCAGGTATCCAGAGTTAAAATCTTGCGTTGATGCGCCGAAAGTTCAGCATCCCATATACAAACAAAACATATAAAAAGATAAAAGTAAAAACATACAAAAAGATAAAAGTAAAAACATTCAAAAAGATAAAAATATATAGCACAATGCCAGGTACCCAGAGTTAAAATCTTGCGTTGATGCGCCGAAAGTTCAGCATCCCATATACAAACAAAACATACAAAAAGATAAAATTTTAAAAAAAATCTGAAAGTTTTCAGATTTTATATTACGCCCAAAAGGCGTTTTAACGTTTTGCGTGTTACCTTTATTTATTAAACATGTTACCTTTATTTATTATTCTTCGCACTTAAACCATAAAATTAAATCAACAGCACTATCGCAAACTATTTAAAAGAGCATATTTTTAGAACTTCTGATACACAGTCTCGCGCGCTGGAGATAAAAATGTTTTTATTTTCGTACAGTGTTGCCATTGCTCGCTTTGAAATCGTTCTTAATTAAAACTCATAAATGCTTTACAAACTATAAAACAGATAATAAGATAACTTCCAAATTTGGGCTTCCGGATGCCCATATTCGGGTGGAGACGTACGTTATTCAAAATGGTATGTTGTTTTATCACAATGCGAGAAACATACTTACATTTATGCAGGTTATTCATTATTTCATTTCTTTAAAAATAATACATGGCTCTAATATTTGGTGGCAACAATTTAAAAAGTGATTCGCCGTTTATAGTGAATAAACGTAAAATGCCAAAACGAACTTGATCGTCTTTCTGGGCAAATTGTCCCTTTGGACTAATAATATAATTTAAAATTGCATGTAAGTGTTTTTGGAGACAGAAAATATGGTGGGCTTATCGTGAAGTGGCCGTCAAAGGACAAGCAAAGAGACGAATGACCGATTGAGGGAAAGCATTGCCATGATTCACACAGATGTTGCACAATTATTAGTCCAAAAGGCTTCAAATGACTGTCATTCAGAATGATCCTAAATAGTATGGACTGCAGCAGAGATAACTCCAACACTCTTCGCTGAATGGATCTCCGCTGGTTACTCATAATGCTGTCCGTTCCAATACCTGGCCAACCATCTCTTTGCTTGTTCACGGCTGGCTACTTTACGTTAAATCCGAGATCTCTCCTATCTCCGAAGAATTTGCAAATTATTTCTCAATGAGTTTTACTTTGAAGCCTTTTACTTCCTTGTACAAAATAAAGGTAGTATTGTAATCAAGCAAATTTCCGAGTATCGTATTTCAACTAAAATATCCATTTTGACCGCTATCGAATGCAATTTAACAATGGTTTTGCGTGACATCCGTAAGTAAGGACAGAATAAAAGACTCTTTTCCTCCAAACAAATTATAAAACTGATTTGAAATAAACTCAGAATAGATTTTTTATGGCGTCTGTACGTACGTATGTATGTATCTCGCAAAACTGAACAACGAGTAGCCTCAGAACCTTGAAATTTTGTATATAGGACTGCTATAACATGTAGCTGTGCACCTCCTATTTTGGTTACAATCGGCAGCACCAAAAGTATATATATATATATATATATATCCACTCTGTTTTATACTTATATGTTGGTAAATTTTGCATTTTCGGCTTTTAAAATGATTGAATTATGTCATTCTTATCTTTCGGTTAAGTTTTTTGTGCCTTTAATTAATCTGCATGCTATAGTTGCAGCACTATGAAGAATTTAAAAGTTGTTTAAGTTTAGCTAAGGCTTATTTTTTTTAACCATAACAGCCATATTCGTTTACATTTGAACTTAGCATAATAGTGAATTAAGTCAGTTTCAGTACCTTCAGGGTGTTTTTGCCATGTGGACCAAAATTTTTAGTTTTGTGCACCGTAAAATCTGCGTTCTTGCTTGTTTTTGCGTAGAAATGTAACTTTAATTGCAAAAAATTTTTTTAAATTGTTTTAACTGTATTTGTTGATTTATGTTTTTCTGCATCTTTCAATTTTTAATGAAGATATTTTGAGTTTTTATGAATTTTTGTCTTGCCGCGAATTGAGAATTTAATTAATTGAATGAGAAATATATCTCTGATGAAATAAGTTTAAGTGAAATGCAGGAAAAATGCGTATAATTTAATATTCCGTACAAGGAAGTCATGTGGTGTACACATCAGATTTTTTGATACACTGTGCTCAACTTTCAAAGCACCAATATGCACGATTTCAGCGCTACGTATTAAATCACATACTCATCACAGTACACGGCATGTTCCACATCTTCTCCTGAATCAGTGCTATATTGTAATCACATAATTACTCGCAGTCACATGATCCTTTCATGATGGAATATTGCCAGGTAAAATTTCAAAGACAACAAAAGAGGCACAAATGTTATTTTATTGAAATATATTTGTTCGTTCCAAATCTATAATGAATTTATAACAAGCAAGGAGGAGATTTGGAAAATCCCTTGAGCTCATAGGCTTTTTATCTAAATCCCGAGAGAAACACGAAATTTTGCTTAATATATACTTGGCGTTCACAAAACTTTCTCTTATTAGTAATATTAATTAATTTTTTCAAGCTACAAATGTTACTCATTAGGATAAAATTAGTCTTCTCATTCCAAGAGTACTTCACAGTTACAGTGTTATTATTTTATGACAAATATGTTTTGCTAATAAGAGCCAATTCTTAAATTATTTCATACTTACTACTAACAAAGCGTATAGTATTACACCGCAGCTCCATACATCAGCACGTCTTCCATCATACTTCTCTCCCTAATTAAAAGAATGTAAATATGTAAGAAAGCTGCAATAAAAAATAATTACCTCTATCATTGCACTTAAAAAATTACTGTTGTAAAGAAGAATAAAAATTACCAATGAAAATATTTGAAATAACATTTTGTGAGAATTCTCTCATTCTTTTGTGCACGTGCGTTTTTTTAATCGGATTCAGAAAGGTAATAATAATTCACAGTAATAGTTTTACAATTTTATATTATAAAATGAAGGTAAAAATTTACAATTGGATGCTCCTTGTTTTTTTGGTGATTCCTTTTTAACGTCAAGATCGGTCCCAGGAAGGCACAATTTCAAGATGGCCGCTACACAGAGCCAAAATAAGAAGTCAAAGAATTGCACAAACTCTGCTTCCATGTACACATCGATCTATTTTCACTTTAAAAAACATCAGAGAATTGCATAAACTAAGCATTGGGCACTGTCTTAACTTTGTCCCTCTACACATCGATCTATTTTCACTTAAAAATACTCAGGAAGCTAAAACAAAGTTAAAACTATCATGGTGACCAGGAATGAGGTTTCATCGCCAAAATTGAACAAAATTAGAAAAAATTAATTTTTCTAAGCCAAACTTTTAGATTAGAAGATAATTTCTTTTATATAATTAGTGCATTTATTTATTTTAAATCATTCAAGATTTAAAAACAAGGCATATAATAAGTCCTATATTAATTATTAATATAAAAGATTTCCAAATAAATCACAGACGATGTCAATTACGCTGATCCAGAAAGCTAAAAAGGTAAAATTATGTCAGCAATCAGTATAGCAAATTTTGGAGCAAATATATGTATATTTGCTCCAAAATATATGTATAATTTTTTATATGTAAAGTATAAAAAATCTATCTTTTAAATAATAAATTAATAATAGCCCTTTAACTCCCGTCTTCATTCGAAAAATAATAATAACATTTCTGGACTGCGTCATTTCTGGATTAATGAATACCACGAAGCTTGCGTAACGCTGATGATTTAGTAATTGGGAACATAAACTCTGAGAACTGAAACATTCCTAACTCAAATTGAAACCTTCTTCTTACATACGGGCTCACTCTTTTTTGATACTTCTTATATATTTATATTAGGAGATAATATAATCAATATTTCTTTAGCAAATAAATTCAATTTACATTCAAGTTACTTTAAAACAATTTTCGGAATTAAACTTACTAACTATGGATTCACTCTTTTTAGATAATTGTACTAAAATTAAACTTAGGATGTAATATAATCAATATTTCTTTAGTATATATATATATATATAATAATTTATTTATATATATAAACGATAAGTATTATTATTATTGCTTTTTCTCTTGATTCTTAAAATCATCTGATTCAAAGAATGTATACAAAAAAGCCAGTTACTAAAAACTATGTAGTTTGATTTGAAACATTTTTCTGCTATTGCGGATGAGGTTACATAATTTATTTATAAAGGATTATTGTAAGCTGCTATCGCTCCTAATGTCAAATATTTAGTTAAAAGTACTGCGATGGACACTGTGTTGTAATAGCAACACATACAGTTGACACCCATATGGCTGACATTAGTTGTGGACATAACGATTAGCACAATTAAGAAAAATTTTGATAATAATGGGTAAGAAGGTTGACGCGAATTTGTCACATACTCATCGCAGAACAAGATAGACACAGGACACGTCACAAGACAAGATGGAAAAAAATGGGCGGGATACCAAAACTTTCAAATGATCTCACAGGTATTGTCTTACCTCGCTAACTGTACAATTCCATCCCAATTTTGATCAAGCTTTCTCCACAGAGAATGTATCCTCCAAGGGTCTACCACCCCTCTTTACTTACCACTAAACCATTTAAAAGATCTTTCAGGTTGTCAATGGCGCACAGATGTTACACGTTTACAAACATTCATGCCTTCTCCGTTATTCGAATTTGAACCTCAACATACGGAAGCTAGTATCTCTGCACCAACAACGGCGGCTCAGAATCGTCACAAGTGTTGTATAGTGTCTCTGAAGACCATCGATATGGCATAGGATTGACAAGAAGAGACACAGCATAGAATTAACAGGATAGGACTGGAAGAACTGGATGGAACACTAGAGCTTCAGCAATGATTTTAGCGATATAATCTCATTTAATTTACTCTGCAGATCCTTTACAATATTGATGGAGAACATCCAGGAGAATGAAGTCGAGGGTCTCCATCCTTCTTCTCTTACCACTAATCTTCTCGACGGTACTTTCCGCTGGCTGATATTTTAAGTGCTCCAAATACTGCACAAACAGTGTGCACATACAAACATACATGCCATCTCCGGCATTCGATCCCGGGCTACGCGATACGGCAGATAGCATTGCTAACAACTGTACCGATTAAGGCAGCGCACAAAATCGATATCGGCATAGTAAAGGCATAGAATTAATGACGACAACAGACATGGAGCAAACAAGGCTTATATTTAGCTACAACGCATCATCAAAAGGGTGAGAATCCCTCCCTCAATTAAATTATTCTATTTATAGGGTATTTTCCTAGGATCGAAACCGATTTTTGAGCTGTCGATTAATCCTGTACCGGCTGATACACTGTAGATCTAATGCAGTGTCAATCGATTGCCATATACACTTAATTAAGAATTTTAGCAAATTAAAACTATTCCTTCAGTTAAAGTGCAGGGCATATTATTATTATCATCATCCTCAATTCGTAATATTTAAGGAAAAAATTATTAAATTAACATTTCAAAGACTGCTGAATAATCTTCATAAAAAATAAGAAAAAAAAACAACACTGCACACATTTTACAAACAACAAACAGTTATTAATGCTTGGATTTTTTATTTCCTTATCGATTTATTTAAAATCTGCTTTGAGGATTCAACAGATCTCCATTTTTAAAATAGCAGAACAAGTCTGCTCTTTCCTAAAAGTTAACAACACGAAAAATTTCCTTTGTCTGCTTAGAAAGAAGCATGAAATTCTGACAGTGAAAAAATAAATTTCTACCTAAACCGACGAGAAATCTTAGATTTAATTGTTGTCCCGCGAAAACAAAACTTTTTTGTAAATCCCAAAGCATTCAATTTTAAAAGATTCTCGAATAGAGGTATATTTTACGAATTGTATATGGAATTTACTGCTTTTAAAAACTGAACTTAAATTCTTACTGGAGAACTTTATTAAAAGGATTACAGGAAAGATATGGATGTAAGAAATGTTTAAATTAATTTAAAAAATCGAGTTTCAAATTCATTTTTATTAAATTATGCAATAATTTAAATAATGCAGTACAAGTGAATTATTTTTCATTGTACTGTGCATAATTATGAATTACCTCTCATTGCACTTTCTGCGATTAAAAAAGTGGCTCAAATTAAATGTTTTCATTCTGAAACGTAGCGAAAGGCAAAACCTTTTTAATATACATTTTAAATTCTTCTTCAGTTACAGTGAATGATTTAATTTAAAGCTAAAACTTAAGACATTAATGTCTATATTCTTAAATCTTGATAATAATTTGATTATTTATATCCAGTGTCTGAAATTCTGATCCATTTCATATCTCTTTTCAAATCCGAAGCAAATTCATTAGCACGGAAGATTAAAAACAGTTTTTTTAGCGGAAAAGTTTTTAGAACCTAAGCGGTACGGTCTGTTGATCCTATCGATCTATTGTCTTTCTTGTCCCACGTTCGATACCGCTACAGTAAAATCATATACAGTATCAACTATGAGGCCATTTACTTTTAAATTTCATATTCTTATTAAAGATCGATATGGCATCATTTGTGATTATGCAATTGAAAAATGCCTTTTTCTTTAAATAATGTTGTTTCTTTAACCTACAGATGTTGGAAGTGTAAACTTCTGTTTGTTATATCAAATTCACAATTAACAATTTCTTATACCGTTTTCTACTAGCATTTGTTGTAGTTTTAAATAGCGTCATAGTACCCTGAATACGAACTAGAGGTTACCTGGAATTAGTACGCAATTGCGCCCCAAACCATGATGCCGCGTTATCGCGCTATGGGGCGTTCCACAGTTGCTGCCGAGTTGGGTTTGTCTGCACATCGATGACACACTCGTACACGGGGACTATCATTGGAGAAACAGAAGCGTGACTCATCTGAGAACACGACCCTGTGTCGTTTCGTTGTCCACATCGCTTGAGCCCAACGCCATTGCAGACGTTGGCGTCTATAATGTGAGGTCAGTGGCAGTCTCCTTAATGGACTCCACACTATCCATCAATGTACGGCAAATGGTTCTGGTCGATATGGGAGCATCTAGAGTGTCTCGAACATGCTGCAGAATGGAGGGAGAAGTGACTTGTAGGTGCGCCATCGCTTATCAGCGGATGCGTCGATCCACGCGTTCTGACGTCACTCTGGCGCACCGGCCCCCCTCGAACTTGTCACATTTCCCTGTTCTAAACATCGTCGCCACAGCCGGTACATTGCGGACGCGTTCAGGTGTGTGTCAGTTGAGATTTGCCGAATGGACCAAACTGTCCTCCTCAGTCCGAACACTATGCCCTCCGTAAAATCGTCTCCCTGCTGAAACTGCCTTTGTTGACGACGGCCTGGCATTCTCTCTGTTATTACACGCGGGTCTTCTGAGACAAGAACAAATTTTCTACGATTTTTTCCCTATCAAAAATAACGTCAAGAAAAATTGAACATTCTCTAGGTTCCTTTCCTTGTATCTTCTTCAACGTGCCCTGGAGAGCTGCGCCATTTCACATCATTTGCGTAACTCGGTGACATGCGTCTACCCTGAAATTTGCATAATTGCCACTCCTTCTTTGTGTTGCGTTTTCAATGTCGGGTAGTGAACAATACTGTAAACACCTGAATCTTTTTAAGAAATTAGATGAATGCCAAAAAACATTTTCTCAATGAAGAATTGCCACAAACTTTCAATTTGTGAAAAAGAGTAATAGTTGCCAAGCGGGCAGGGGGAATACCAAGGTTTGCCTA